GCATCTATGTCCCGGGCTGGGCCTGGACACTTACTATTTCATTTAACTGTCCTCATTTCTCAGTTCTCAAGGCCAAACTGACAAGAAGTTGTGTACACTTCTTGATTGGTGTTAATAGTTTAGGCTGTTTTACTTTCCTTTCACTTGTCTTAACAAATTTTAATCAAAGATAGCTGTGGTTTTTTTTAATTCTCATTCATCATTTTTCATACTTTCTAATGTAAGATGTTACTTTAGCACAGCATATGTACCACACAGATAAATGCTTCTCTAGGTAGTTTTTAAATAATTATAATCTGTCTTTGTAAAATTAAAATTCATTAAACATTCTGGTACATGACTATAGTCCCAGCCCTGGGGAGGCTGAGACAGGAGGATCATGAATTCAAGGCCAGTATGAGCTGCATAGTGAAGAGAGGGAGGGGGAAGGAAGGAGATACTGAGAAAAACTGAGAGAGATTGAGACTGACCGATGATTATGGAATGCTTAGGGTTGATAGCAATGCCTTTTCTTGTCTGGAACTAGAGGCCAGCAGTATATATACCAGCAGTGGTTCCTGGGCTCACATCTCTGCTCTGTCCCATTTGATCCTGACACTGGGATGGAGGCCTATCACTCTGAGGTGGTCTTATCTGTAAGGAAGGCTTGCCCATTCTGCAGGAAGGGGCACCAGATTCCTAAAACCCTTAAGAGGTTGGGTATACTAGTATGCTAGGGCAGTTCAGGTGGGCATGCCTAGGTTCATTTCACTAGGGAGGGTGATGCATTATTCATAGAGAAAAGTTCAGAGATTCCCTCCCACCCCAACAGCTGCTGCAGACAGACCAGCACATGGCAAGTGAGCTTCAGCACATAGCCAGGTCCTGAGGCTCCCCAGCACATGTTCTTGAGTATCACTAGAAGAGCCTCAGTTGCTACTGAAATTTGAGACTAGCCTTGATCTTCTGGTTTGTTACCCAAAGGGGAGGGCAAAGCATGATTTACTTGACTGTGATAAGATAGTGAACATTCTGGTATGAAAGGAAATGCCAGAGGCTTTTTCTTTTAAAAACATTTTTAATCCTTTCATGATTTGGCAGGTAATTATGATAACTCCTGGAATTCTCACAGATTTGAAAGCTCATTATATTTGGAGATCATCTTCCTTGAAGCTCCAGCTGGAAGGAATTGCTCATCTTCTTGAAGTTCAGAGAGCAGCATTTCCCAAACTCAAGTGAAATGCCACCTTTTAGAATGACAGGTCTCACTGTGTTGCCTAGGCCTTCAATTGCCAATCTCTCTGAGTGGTTGGGATTACTGAACTACACACATCACACCTGGCAAAATATTGTCATGATGATGCTTTCTCCGATCTGTGAGGTCATTGCTTACCCAATAGGAGTCAGCTTGTAGGCCAAGTCTCCAATCTACTTGAGTATTCTCTTGAAGGACTGCACTGATTGATTGGTGATGTCTGTAACGGGTCAGTCAGTGGGAGAAAGGAGAGAATCCTTGGCTATTTAGTTAGTCTCTTTTGCATGGACATTCAGGTTAGGTGTCAGCCATTTGGAGCTGAACTGGTACCCTGATCACTTGTATATGAAAAGGGACAGGATTACTGCCTTGCAGTGATTTGTGAGCTGGATATGGGGCATTTAGAAATTTGGTAGATGGTGCCCAATGCCTTCATTATTTAAATTTCTTAAAATCTTTCTACCTTTTCACCAGCACAAAAGCTGAAACCCAAGGGATGACTAATGAGCCTTTCCTTTGCCCCATAACTTCAGTTGTGTCTCTTCCCAGCACACCAACTCTGGGGTCCCTTGGGCCTGTTGGAGACTCCAGGCTCTCTTCCTGATTCTTTGGCCCACCTCAGAGCTGTGTCAGCCTAGTACCCGTGCCTCCACTTAGCACCTGTTTTTGACTTTTTTCCTGTGTTATCAAGTGGCACCTCCTCCTTGTACCCCTTTCAGTGTCATAACAACAGAGATTGGAAAGAACCCGAATCTCAAACTGGCCCTGAGCACTGAGGGTGCCAGAGCTCAGCAGGTGACTGCTGGGGACATGAGGCCTGGATCTGCCTCCAGAGGCTGCCTGCAACATGCCCATTAGAGAGGGGACTATTGTGATTCATCTGAACAAATGTCAGAGGAGATGAACTACATGTCTCTTCTGCCACTCCTACACTAGCACTTACAGCCACACCTGGCAAGTGGTTAACAATATGATGGCTTTGCTTTGAGGGACAGTGAGTCTCCCAAAAGCTGTCCCAGTTCCTTCTGTGGAAAACTGTGGCCCTTTTCCATTTGTCTTCTAGAGGCCTTCCTCACTGACCCTGCCTCCATGTCTTCTGACCTATCACAGAAAAGGGGCCTATTCACTAGACTCTACCCTGCTCCAGACCTGCTGCCATATCTGTGAAATGGGGCATCTGGTTGCATCTGTACTATGACCCAATTAGGTGATAGTGGTATGAATCCCCTTTTTGTGATGATTAGCCTCAGGTTCATAGACCTGACCTGCCTTCACTGGAGCATGCTCAGTATTTGATCAGGCTCAGACCTGTCTTGCACCAAAGCCTGAACTCTAGCAGTGGCCTCCCTGCAAGTCCCTGAAGTTCTCTCTGCTAGACAGACTTTTCTTTTTGTCTGCAGGGTGACTTGCTCAGTGTGGTTATGGAGTGAAAAAGACCATTGGGGCCAGTGACATTGCTAAGATACAGAGTAGGGTGGGAAAGAGAGGGAGTATGGATTTATCCTAGGGGCAGTGGAAGCATTGCAGGTATTAAACAGCAGGGTTAAGAAGGCCACTGTGTCAGTTTAAGGGGAATAGGATGGAGGACATCTCCACTCTGAGCCTCAGTCTTATAGTTCCTATGACTGCAGTAAAGAAAGTGGTGTCCTCCAGCCTGGTAACAAAAAAAGGGTAGCTTCAAGGCCTACTTTTAGTTTTGTGACAATGGGATCCATTTGTGACTCACATTTCTCTTCTGAGTCATCTCTCTGAGTCCTGAAGTTGTTTCTAGTTGCACTAAAGTTTCAAAATAGTTATTCAAACTTTAGTGCAACTAGAAACAACTTGGTGAGACCTAAGAAGGTATAAACGGTTTAATATCAGTGGCTGTATTTAGAGCTATACGATATAAGAACTCTTGAGTTTCACAGGTTAGCCTAGTAACAGTGAACATATTAGCTTAATGGTGAAATTGTTTCAAGTTTTGTCTCCTTAGTTCCCTTGGGGTCATGTTCTTCCCACCCTCACCCCATTTTTCAGTGAAATGCAAGTTTTTGTTGGTGTGGTCAAATTACTATTGTGGCTGTAAAAGGAAGCCAGAGTTTTTAAGGAGTTCACAGTGAATACTACTTGAACTTGGAACGTTTTTGTATTATATGTGTTTATGGAGAATTGTTGAAGCATTCTGGCTCTACTGCAAAACAAAACAAACCCAATAAAACTGCATTTTGCTCTTGGAAGTGACAGTGGCATCTATTTAAAGCCATTGGAGGGCCTTTCAGTAGTGACAGCAGCTGTGGCTTTCCTGCTTACCCCAGGAAGCATGCTAGGGTCACATGACTTCCATGTGGAGTATCCACTGGCATTATTAGTGATACTGTATTTGTTGAAGGCAAACAGATTAAGCTTTTGTACAAAAGTAATAAGACAACTAAGGAATATTAATTTTTGGTTTCTGCAAAGAAAAAAGCTGGTGAAAAGTTCATGACTTACTCATTTCCTGTTGTTTTACAACATCTTTATTGCCATTTGTGCTTAGTATTTTACACCTTGGGGATAGAGGGCAGCCATAAGGGGGGATCCGTAGAGCAAGAAAATGGAATCATCAGTGACCAGAATGTACTCTATATGTGTACAAAGTTGTCAAGGAATAAATGGATCTCTCTCTCTCTCTCTCTCTCTCTCTCTCTCTCTCTCTCTCTCTCCCACCCCCCCCCACCTGAAGAAGCTAAGTTCTAGACTGGTCAAATCCAGAAATCCATAGAAAATTGTCCGCATTGTGAATCACTCAGAAAAAAAGAACTATAGGGTGCTTTCCCGCAGTTACCTGAATCATGTAAGTAATAGTTGAGTAGCCTTTGCCTTGGTTAGAGGCTTCCTTATAGCATCTCTATTTTTATTTCTTTGGGATCAGCCAAGCATACTGAATAACTGAGTCTGGAAAGTTTCTGTGGCCCATCACAAGCCTGACCAATTGCATCTGGGCTGGTGTGGTGACAGGATCCTAGAGTCTGACCAGGATCTGCCCTCTATCTGCCCTCTGTTCTGCCCTCCCATCATCTGCATAGCCTGCAGCAATCTCTTTAAGTGCCTAAGTTTTAGGTTGTCTTTCTGGAAGATGGGAGTCATAGCATGTACTTCTTAGAGCTTGCATCACGAAGCTCCCAGAGAGCATGGGAAGGATTTATCCTGCTGTGGAACAGCAGTGACAATGAGGTATTTCTGTTCCTGCGGCATGTGTCACCATCGTCAGCACTGTCCTGGATAAAGCGTGCTCCTGTTCCTTACTTTTCAGAACCCAAGGACTCAGTGAATGAATGGTTACATTTATTCCCATCACACCATTAGCCGGGACATTTATTATTATTAATAATAATAATTAATTTATTTTGCACTACTAGGGGTTGTACCCAGATCTGTGTATATGCTAGGTAAGCACTCTAGCACTGAGCTATATCCCCAACCCCAGCAGGAACATTCCTGACAGGCATAACTCAGATTACAATAAAAACCCCTTTGCTAGAAAACTGCTATTAGTTAAGGCCTGGAAATGGTCTGACAGAGTCATCTTCTGACTAAACTGTGGGCTGGTGGCTCCAAAGTGTTAAAATCAAGTGTGTCAATCTTACCCAACTCAGGGTGTGTTTGCATGCTCTTGGATAAGCCATGCCATGATTCTCAGCCTGTACCTTGCTGCAACCTGGTGGGAAGGAGGATGCAGAGAAGCAAGGATGCCGGTGGGTGAAGGCTGCCTAGAGCCTGACAGTTGCTTGTTTGTTTCTTCCAGGTGGCTGAGATGCATGGAGAGTTGATCGAGTTCAACGAACGTCTACACAGGGCCCTAGTGGCTAAAGAAGCACTGGTGTCCCAGATGAGGCAAGAGCTGATCGACCTCCGAGGCCCCGTGAGTGCTCCCTTCCAGCAGATCCTGGTCCTGCCATCTGCCCACCTTCACTGTGGGCCCACTAAACTCTGCTGCTTCCATCTCACTTCTCATTTGGCTCATTACCTGTGATGTCAGTGACACAGAAAAGCACAGGCTAAAGGATTGCCCATGCATACCCACCATATGATCACTTTCTCTGGGAAGGATGCTGTATGATAGATACAGTCATGCCATTCTACTGCGCTACGTGCTCATTCCACATTCCTTCCTCTCCATATTTTTATATGCTTTTCAGTGACTTAGAGCCTTCCTCTCCATATTTTTATGCTGTGATGCATAGACAAATTTACATGGACAGGAAACAGGCTTGGTTTTGTGTTAACTTGTACGCATGTTGTCTTATGTCATGTTACCTGTTTGCCACTTGGTTTTGTTTGATTGTTTGTAGTTCAGTAATTCAGTTTAAGGAGCATCCCTCATAGACCTAGTTATAGGGACTTTTTACCCACATCATTGACAGTTTGAGTCATGTAATTCTTCATTGTGGGGCTATACTGTGCACTCTGGGATCCCTGATTTCTACTCCAGAGAGGCTAGTAACTGCATCTCCACCAGTTGTGACAACCACAGATGTCTTCAGATGTTGTCTGTCAGGTGTCCCCTGGGAGCAGAGTCACCGTGGCCGAGAGCTACTGATCTAGCTTGTTCATTTTCTTAGCTCAGCCATTCTGTATGGATTGAAACACCCCGTCTGTGATCAGTCATGTGCTTTAGAATTTTGGTTTGTTTCCACTGTCTTACCATTGCAAACTGTGATGCTGTGAGAATTTGGATGCTGGTCCTTGCATGGGTGTACATGATAACTTCATCTGCATTTGAAAACTTACTATGTAAAATGCCAAGTTCTATAGGCAGATGGGTGAGCAATTGACACAGTCTTGTAGCCATTGTCCAGATGAACTCTTACCAGGCACAGCCAGTCTTGTTTCAAGTTACCTATTCCTGCTTCCTCCTTTCATTTTACTTAAATCAAATACTAGGCATTATTCAAAGTTGAGACATCCACTATATGTGTCTAAAAGTAAGAAAATGTAAATACTTTGTCTTTATCATCCTTGATGTCCACTAAATCCTTTATATCAGCAAAGATAACTATTCAAATGTCCAACTATCTAATTTTTATATAAAAATTCAAGATCCATATGAGGTTTATAATTGGTTGATATGTCCCTTGTGTTTCTCATAATTTTTATATTTTATTTATTATTTACATGTATGAGTGTATTGCCTGCATGTATGTTAGTGCATCTGTGTCATGCAGAGGATAGAAGAGTATGTCAGATTTACAGGTGCTTGTTACGGGCAGTTGTTAGCCACTGTGTGGGTAGCTGGGAATTGAACCCTGGTCCTCTGCAAGAGCAGCCAGTGCTCTAAACCACTAAGCCATCTCTCCAGTCCCCGTTTCATATAATTTTTAGATTATGGTAAGATAGACATGACAGAATGTGCCATCCTAACCATTTTAAGCAGATGATTGAGTAGCATTTGGTACCTTCATGTGTTGTGCAGCCATCCCTCCCATCTAGTTCTAGAGCTTTTTCATCTTCTCCCACTGAAATGAACTGATTCCTTTCTCTTCTGGCCTTCACCACCTACCATGCTGCCCTGCCTCATGCTGCCGTGACTACACTTTTGTTGTCTGTGGCCCTCCCCACCTTTTGTCTATGGCTCCCCCTTTTTTGTCTGTCTGTCTGTCTGTCTGTCTCTCTCTCTCTCTCTCTCTCGCTCTCTTTCCCCTTTTACTTATGAAAGCCACTAGGTCATGCTGCTGGTATCTCAGCATATGCTTAGTAGTACTGTCTGACATGCCTTTCTCTTTTTTGCTTTTCTTAAATTGGGCTTGTGTACTCAGATTCCGGTTTCACTGTTGGCAGAACTCTGGTTGGGCTGCATTTCCCATCAGCCATCCCTTGAAGTCTTTTGTCTCTCTTCATGATGCCAGCAGCCATGTTGTCACTCCCTAGGTCTGTTACTGAATTTACTTGAGGTCAGCAGTGCCTCTTCTTGATGTTTTTGCAGTCCTGTGGATGAGAAGGGACAGTGGGTGGTGAGCTTAGGAGTCCTGAAGCTGACCTCGGTTTCCCATGAGTGGGGCAGGTCTACATGATGCTTCTGAATCCCTGCCCAGCTCTGAGTGTTCCAGCCTTTTCCAAGGAGGAGGGGCTGGAGAGGGGACAGTGGGCAGGCAGGAAGTGAGCAGTGGCCCATTCCTTACCATAGGTTCCATTTGGACCTGGATGGTGTTCTTGTGTGCCCTTCACATTGAAAGAGTGGTAGGTGAGCACTGCCGCTGTGGGTACTTACAGAAAGCAGCTTTAGTGCCTCTTTCTCTCTCTGAGTAATGAAAACAGTCAGCTACCTTCACGAAGTGTGAACTGTTGATCTGCGTAGCTGCCATTCATTGAGTGACTATTACCTGCCCAAGTCTGATGACTTTCTTTAAACACAACACTTTGTTTTCTCCTGGTCCTCACTACCAGTGTTATCACTGTGATCCCCACACTGCAGAAGAGGAAGCAGGCTCAGAAGGGAAGCATCTGCCCCACTGCCCCACAGTGAGAATGGCTGAACTGGGTCTCATTTCAGAAACTGAATTTTATTTAACAGTTAATTAAATACCAAGCTCTTTGAATTCTTGGAAACTTTGATTTTACTGTGAGTTGCTTTTCTCATCACTGTGCTAAAACACCTGGCTGAAGCAACTTAAAGGAGGAAAGATTTATTTGGACTTGTGTTTTAAAGGGACGTGGTCCCTGTGGATGGCTGTAGGGGAGGCTCATGGCTGTGGCAGTGGGAGCTTGAAGGTGGCTGGGGCCATGACATGGGCAATGAGGAAGCAGAGAGGCCAGGCTAGAAACCTCAAGTTTCCTCCTCCCACTCAGGGACCGCCCTCCTCCAGCTAGTGTCACCCCATCAAGGCTGCATGTCCTCCTAAACAGCTTAGGGGCTCAAATGTTCCCACACATGAGCCTGTGGGAGGTATCTCACATTCAAACCATAACATTAAAAAGTTAAGTACTTAAAGGGTCAAGAGATGGCTCTGTTAGTAAAGTTCTCAACATGCAAGCCTGGAGACCTGAGTTTGGATCCCCAGCACCCTCATGAAAAGCCAGTGTGGTGGCCGTGTCTATAATCCCCCACAGGAGAGGTGGAGACAGGTCGATCCCTGGAGTTTGCTGGCCAGCCAACCTAGCCAAACCAGTGAACTCTAGGTCCAGTGAGAGACCCTGGCTAAAAAAATAAAAGGTATTGAACAACTGAGAACACCCAAGTCTGACCTCCACACACATGCACACACATATGAACTCTTATTGTACATGTGCATGTACATGAGCACACACATGCAAAGTCAAGTAATTTAAAAAGGCATCCATATGAGTCTTGAATGAAAACAGATCTTCAGATTTTACCCTTCCTTTGGCCCCCTAATTTTCCTACTTTGAAGCAGGATATTTTGCCAGGCTAGGGTTTTTCTTTCCAAACCATTGCACACACCTGAACATTTTAGTAACTAGTCACCTGCTACACTCATTGTTCTGTGTCCAAATCCCCCCATTTAACAATACACCCTAGAGATGTTTTCATTTTACACATAAAGTCTCTTCTGTTTAAGAACAGCATCATGTTCCCTTGGGCAGGCTATCTTGTAGTCCAATGACTAGAGCCCTGCTGATGGATTGTGCACTGTTTCCCATGTTTTGCTATTGCAACTCTCTTAGAATGACATTCTTATGAAATCCTGCATCCACATGGAAAGATTGGTTGGCTGGGGGCAGCTCCAGATTTCTTGCCTTGCAAGATTGTGGGGTTCTGAGGCCTCTTCAACCTGCTGCAGGAGGGCTCAGGGGCCAGTACCCTGCAAAGAGGCCATGATATAGTGGTTCCAGAAATCTGTCTAGTATGCCCCCAAAGAAACTGCCCTCTTTTATAGATGTGGAACCTCTATTCTGAAGAGTTTGGGCTCAATGGACTTCCACCGTGTGCCACACAAGGCCCTCTTCCTCCTTCCACTCTAGCCTTTGTTTCTACTGTTTCTTCTGGAAGGCCAGCTGGGCCTCAGATCTTACCATATTAATCTATCACTCCCTCAGGAAACCTTCCTGATCCTCAGGACAAGGGCAGGTTTTTCTTAAGTATGTTTCTGTATCTCTCTCCCTTCCAGTCTTAACATGATCCCCATGAATTAATCATTGAATGGTTCTCCCTCAGTAGATGCTTGGTGAATGTGGGTTGGCTCATTGAGAGAATGAGTGTCACTGGCTGTATGTTGCAGTGTCCAGATTTTCCCTGGGCCCCCATGACAGGCAGTTTCTCTGTCTACTCTGCTCCTTGCAAGGCCCCCTCCAGGGCTATGAGAGCTGTTGTTTTAGAGACAGCCCTAACTATTTTTGCCTAGAAAGGTGGCAATGGCCAACAGGCAGAGGTGAACAAAAAAGATCCTTAAGGAGCCTGAAGGCCATTGGGAAGAGATAAGAAGGCCATAGGAACTGTACCCCCAGCGGGGAGGGGGCTCTTGACCTTGTCATTACTGTTTCAGACCTGCCCTGGTCACCTCCTCAGAAGCACACTCAAACTTTTTGTCTCTCCTCCCAGTGTCCTGGAGGTCAGGATCCTAGCTGTACTTGGAAACCTGCTTCCTCTTCTCCCAAGTGGAGACAAACATGGCGGCGTCAAGGGCTGCTGCCAATGTGTCAACACTGGTCACATGAGAACAGCACTTGCACATGCCTCTAGAACGCACTCATCCATTGTGTCTTTACCTTGTTTTTATAGAGCAGAAGATGGCTACATATACCAAATGAGAATTAAGAAAAAAGATAGGGGCAGGTAGGGGCATAGTCCTCCATGGACCTGATTTAACAGTATTATACACTTTTTTTTTGTTGTTGTTGTTTATTTTTACACCCACTTCCCAGATAGCACCCTCCCATAGCCTCCCTCTACCCACTAGAGCCCTT